CAAAGATATGCAACAAAGTGCTTCGTTGCAGAGGGGAGAGTTTGTGCACCGTGGAGGCTGGAGGGCTTCTATTCTACATGCGGGGGTTGGGGGGGCGAGGAAAATGTGCTCCGTGGTGGGGCGGGGAAGGCAAAGTTGCAAAAGCGCCCTGCTCCTTCTTCCGCGGAGGGAAACGCTCCTGCGGAGGCGAGAGGCAGCGAGGAGGCGACGAGGTGAGGCTTTTGTGAGGTAGGGAGAGGAAAGACGGGGGAGGGAACCCAAGGAGGATTTGCACGAGAGGGAATGAAGGGGAAACGCGCCTCCCACGTGGAGCAGTTTTCCCCGGGAAATGCACGGGGTGGGGTCGTGGCTGATCCGTGCTGCGCGCTCGCGTCGTGCGGCCCAAAGTGCTGCAGGATCGCCAATGCAAGACCCCCTTTTAAAACCTCCCCCTCCCCCAGCTCTGGAAAAAAAGGGGGAAGGGGATGGCGTCGGCGTGCGGAGGCTGCCCGTGCCCGGCCAGGCGTCGGTGGCGGTGTCAGCGCTGCTGCAGTGGCTGCTCCTCCTGCGAGCAGTGAGTGGAGCGCAGCCGCAGCGGCGGCGGGGGGCGCACGCGCGCTAGGGCGCAAGGCTGGCGGTGGCGGCGGGGAGCCCGGCGGAGGAAGGAACTTGTCCCTTCCCTCTGGACTCGCGCCCCCCGCAGATGTTGCGCCCGGTGCGACTGGCACCCCTGGCACCCCCCACGCTACGCCACTACTCCCACGGCACACTAGGCAATGTCCGGCGGCACACTAGTGTGCCGCGGAACACCGGTTGGGAAACACTGATCTAGAGGACCTGAACCCTGAATCTTCTGCCCTTTCCTTCTACTTCTTTTTAATTACAAAAAAAAAAAAATACTACTTACAGGGAGGCTGGGCAGACTGCAAAGTGCAAGGCAATCACAACCATAATTTCTTCAAAAATCTAAATTTACACAAATATATTAGCATATGCAAATTTATGTCTTAATGCTTTGAGCCTTTTAAGTACCTGGCGCCCCTATGTGGGATACTAAAAGTGATATCAAACCAGCTACACTATTTCATAGAATTGTAGAGTTGGAAGGGACCATGAGAATCACCTAGTTCAACCCACTGAAATGCAGGAATATGCAGCTGTCGCATACAGGGATCGAACCTGCAACCTTGCTGTTATCAGCACCTTGTCTAACCAACTGAACTATTCATATCTCCACAACAGAGGTATTTCCTTTGGGCATTTGAAACTCTCCCAGCAAGTGCATAACAACTCCCATGTATTGCATGCGAAGTCCCTCCGTCTGAATTTTTCGTGGACAATTACATTTCTTTCCTTTAAAACAAAGTGTGACTTATGGCTCAGTCTTTCAAATGCTGTGACAGCAATTGCATAGTGTTATCAAGACTGTGAAAAGTTACATAATGTTACACCAGTGCTGCAGGTAAATATACACAAACACAAGTGTTTAACAATGCACACCTGCGCACCAGCAGTAGGAAACTGGAAACAGAAGACTGTTTTCAAGTTTAATGGTGGTGGTATATTTTCAGGAGAAGATCACAGCTGTTTATGGAAAGGTTAACACTTTCATTCCCTGCCACAGTTTTGAGCATCTTCCCCTACCAGAAATGGTGCTGCAAATGGATTTGAAAACAGACTTCTTCTTTTTTTAAATATAATTTTTATTAACAGGCCAATCAAATCACATTAATTCCAAATCACATTAATTCCAAATTATACAGCCAAATTTTTAAATTTTTGTTGGGGGTACCCAAACATCAAGCTCCGAAAGGGGACCAAACATCACTCATGTTGCTGCTTTAATTAAACAGTTCTATCCAGTTCTGTCCAGATAGTCTCTTTGTTACTTTCCTCATCTTCTTGTTGCTATCATATATTCCTTTCTTTGCGATCTCTGATAATCTTCACAAGCGGGTTGAAAACAAATGTCCTCTGTGTGGGTTTTACACTCTCCAAAAATCATATCACATAAAGAACAGAAGCCATTTCCACGCCTCCGTAAAGAACATTCCCTCCGTCTGTCCGTTGATTTCCCCAGGCTTGCCAAACATATCTCAGAGGGCCCTGCCAGGTCAAGATATTCCGATAACCATACATTCACATTCCGATGACCCTGGTCCTCCTCCCCCTCGTCATTCTATAGGCAAGCCTGTCTTAGCGAAACACCATTTGTAACTGCGTCATAAAACTTTCCATTCCTCGGTGTTTCTACCAGTCCTCTCTTTGATCATTCCCACACAGTTCTTGATCTCCTGCTTGTGATTAATAATTTGCAACAATTCTTCTCTCTGAAGGAGAGGGTTATTGGTACTCACATAAGATAAAAAAAGAAAAGTTTTTCCCTCCCCCCCTTTCCATTTCACTCCAACGTACCCGTCTTTTAATGATGATTCATCACTTGATTTATTGTTCAGCCCATCGCTCTGCTCCCAGAGATCCATTAATCAGCAGTCTTTACTCCCGATCTTCCCTTGATGTATGTGCATTAGCTTCTTTCCAATTATATATTTCCAATTATATATTCCGAGCTAATGCGAACCAGTGCGCGAATTAGAGACAGCGTCCGGGAGAGCCGGCCTCACTCGAGGGCTTCGTGCCAACTGCCCACACCACCTTCTTTCGAATCCGGGGATGAATTATGGACACCGCTGGCAAGGCAGTCCCCCCCATTCCCTTGGGGGGGTAAGGGAGGCTGCGTACTCCCATATCAGCCTCTTAATTACCTCGTGTGGGTCGGAGAGATGTTATTGTCAGCCATCTTCCAATGCGCCCCCTGGTGGCCCCCCTTGAAAACAGACTTCTATGGGTGCCAATGGTAGGCTGGTTTTTTGAAGCTTGATTGTTTCACAAATGCGATCTTCCTTCCCTACTTGCAGTCTCTGTGAAGATCACACACACACACTTCCCTCTGGCAAGAAGGGTTGAAAAACGCTGAAATGCTTTTGTCCACCCCTAATTGCTGGGGTGGGAGAAAGTGAGACTTTTACATGCCTAATATGTGTGTGCATGTGGTGGGGGGTATGTGTTGTGCGTGTGCACACTTTGTGTATGTGTGAGAGAAAGTGTGGGGTGTGCCTCTTGTTCTGATCACACGTACCATGGAGATGTGACCTCTGGAGGGTTGGCCAAGAGGGAATGCAAAATTGCTGCTTATCCTTGCTACACGTGTTTTCTCAGATGCCCTATTATGTGGGGCTTACTTCATCATAAGGGTGTTTATAACTGCAGCCTAAGACTAACACACTGACCTGTTGCAAAGGGCATGTCTTTTTGAAAGCAAGTTCAATTGCTCATGCTTTATATGAACCTTGAGTTGAATCAGAGTGCCTCGTAGTGTTTGGAGGGTTTACCCAAGATGAGATAGGATCTCTGCAAGTTCCCTATCCCACAAATTCCCCTAAGCCTTGTGGCACTTTGTCTCCTTGCTTGCAAAAAAACCAAAACACCGCAGACCTTTTCTTTCTTTCTTTCTTTTGCAAAAAAGCAAAACCATTCTAATAGGAAATGTCCTTGGTCAAGCTGGGGCTGGGGGAGAGGGGGGAGAAGGATAGCTCACTGTGACGGACACAGGGCTTTTAATCAGAGGGAATTATTTCACTGTGGCTTTCTAATCACAGTGGTTTGTGGGAAGGATGTTGATGGGAATAAACACATTGAACTCACATGTTTGTTGCTCTTTTCTCAGTCTCTCTTTTCTTTTGTCTCTCTTGAGTAGGATACATAGAATAGTTTTGTGGTGGATTAGGAGGCACCCCTCCCCTTACCAAATATAGCCCCAAACCAAATCTTGATGCCAGTGCATACTCCTAATAATTGCCTGTTTAAACCCTTACCTTGCCATCTTCTGTGGGTGTTTTGTTACATAATGATCTGCATATTTTCTTGTTTATCCTTCGTTTGTCTCCATGGGATATGAAGATATAAATAAATAAGTGGAAATTTAAGAATCAATTGAAATTTTCTCCAGTGCAATGCAGAGCCAATAGTAATTAACCAAAACTCTGATGAGTCATATTGCCCTGTGATTTACTCACGAAGGAAGGAGGAATTCACAAAAGAGAGAGCAGTGAAGGGAAAGAAGGAAGTGAACTGTGATCCATGAAAGCTTATGCCACAATAAGTATTTAAAGTACTGCTGGACTCTCAGTTGTTTTTGCTGCAAAAGCCTAGCCGTCTGGAAATAATTACGGTTCAGAAAAAAACAGCAGCATTACTTTTACTCTTGCCCAGAGTTAAGAGAATCTGTTTCTCAAGCAAGATACCAAGTGAGAATTAAACTGAACACATGCTTAAAATCAGTGCTTTCCCCCATATATACATATATAGGGGTACTCTCATTTTCCTACTCATATTGAAATACTGCCCCTCAATGAAGCCAAACTTAGATTCAAAAAATGTTTAGGGGTATGCGTACTCCCAGAAAAAAAGGACTGCTTAAAATATAGCCTTTATTTTACCACAAACTTTCACCATGAAGCACTAGCGTGCTCACTGAACTCTGCAGCCAAACTTAAAATTCATCCTGTTAGAAACAACTATATCACTGGTTTCACATCAACCTTATTGTAAAATAAATGTGCTTTATCTACCTTTACATCACTTTTTATAGTACAGTAATGTTTCCAGAAGGCACACCTATGTTCAAAAAAGTCTCCTGGGGATGACTGCCCATCTGTGTTCTTAAAACTACATTTACTGGATAACCAACATAGTCCTGTCCATATGTTTTGAACTACAGCTCCCATAATCCCTTATTATTGGCCATGCTGGCGTAAAGCAAAATTGGGCTTTATATATTTATAGGGAACTGAGAGTGATGTAGGAACATAATCTGGGTTCATGAACCTAACGTAGCATATTATGTTCTTAACTCTCAGTGGTAGGAATGAAAGGGCAAAGCTGAGAATTTCACCCCAAAATGAGGAAGATGTCACAAAATTGAAGGCTGTAACTAAACCGTCTCTTCTGTATTGTTTTAGTCTTGGAAGAAGTGGAACAAGATGTCTTTCAGAGCTATGGAACAATGCCCGGCCAGCAACCACTGCATAAGCCAGAATGGGTAGGTGCTACTTCAACCAGTGTTGTTATCTTTGCTTTCTTCTCCAAAGCCTTTTCTGTGGTGGCCCCATCACCACCACTATTTGTGGAATATTGTCCCCTTCCATGGGAGGAATGGAGGGTATGGAGTTATGCAACTGCCAAGCCAAGAAGATAAGTAACTATGCAACCTTCAGAATACATCTGAAGGCAGCCCTGTGTAGGGAAGGTTTTTTTAAAAAAATGTTTAATGTTTTATTACATTTTTATATATGTTGGAAGCCATCCCGGGTGACTGGGGCAACCCAGTCAGATGGGTAGGGTAATAATAATAATAGGACACCTCTATATTCATCAGAGAAATATTGGAGTGTATGTGCTTGTGTTCTGGCAAGGAGAACAATAAGTAGTATTATTGTGGCAGCAATTTTGGCAGTGGTGGCAGAAGAAAGGAAAACATAGTGACACTGGGGTTTTCAAGGACACTGAAGAAGAAGAAGAGTTTGGATTTGATATCCCGCTTTATCACTACCCGAAGGAGTCTCAAAGCGGCTAACATTCTCCTTTCCCCTTCCTCCCCCACAACAAACACTCTGTGAGGTGAGTGAGGCTGAGAGACTTCAAAGAAGTGTGACTAGCCCAAGGTCACCCAGCAGCTGCATGTGGAGGAGCGGGGAATCAAACCCGGTTCACCAGATTACGAGACTACCACTCTTAACCACTACACCACACTGGCTCTCACTGGAGACACTGTGCCAAGACCCCTCAGAAGTCTGGAGCCTGAAGAGAAGGAGAATTTGCAGGGCCATTCTCACATGACACTTTGCTTTGTTCTATGATCTCCCTTTACTGAAGAATATATTGAGACTTCAGAACCTTCATTTCTGAAGGATGTGCTAGCAGGCTTAGGGAATTAGATGTGGCAGCAATGGACTGAAGATGAACCCAATTGTATTTGACCCTTGACCTCTGAGTCTTAGTTAACATCCCAGAAATACTGATAACCATGGCACTAAGAGGAATATAAATGAGAATAGAGACACTCACATGCAAGAATTACGTAAAGAAAAATAAATTAAGTGTACTGTATGATCAATTACTGCTTTGCTTTCATAGGGTTTAGCTATGTTGATGTATTGCAATAAAACCAACTGCCTCATTGCCCAATAAAGCTTATACCACAATAAACCACTTAGTCTTTAAAGTGCCACAACAGGCTTTGTTGTTTTATCTTGTTTTGCTTATGCCACACAATATCAACCCTATAAGGCCCCCATGGGCTACATAGGAAAGTACACAACAACATTCATGCTAATTCAACGTTCTTAGGATAATTAATAGCTGGTTAATTATTCAGGAATAATTATGTCAATAACATGCAGTGCTTTAGTTTTAGAACAGATTATGTGGTCTCTTTTCATTCAGTAACATTGCCAATTAACTGTTGTAAGGCTGTATTCATATAATACATGAGTAATTAGCAAGTGCTGCACATTATAAGCCCAAATTAGAAATGGAAGTGAAAGATGGAAGGAGGCCTTAGGGTTTTGGCTGAGTTTAAAGTAACTTCATATTATCATTATTATTATTCCTATATCACCCAAGGATCACAGGGCATTTTACAATATAAAACCACAAAAATGTATACCATAGTAACAAGCGAAAACAATAAGACCCACCCCAATTGTTTAAAAGGCCATAGATAGTTTCATTAGCCAAAGGCCTGAGTGAAGAGGAATGTTTTTGCCTGTCACCTAAGGATATGCCACAAAGACACCAGGTGAGCCTCCCTAGAGAGAGCCTTCCACAAACTGTAAACGCTGTAAAAGATGTGGTACTTAACATTAAGTGGCAAAACCATTGTGCAGGTGAGAACCACTAATGCACACCTCTCTTTGAAGAGTTGCTTGCCCACTTGTCTAGGATGTGTAGCAATTCTTTCCAGCGAAATAGCATGACCCTTTTGCTCAAGCCATCCAATGGCACATTAGCAAACAGAGACACACAAGCCAGTATGCATATTTGAGACAGCTAGGCGAAGCTTTAGTGCACGTCTGAGATAAATATTCAGATCAATGTTTGCTTCCAAGATCTGCAGCGACAAGCTTATGCATTCCATTGGCTTTTGCTTTGGTAGACTATTCATTCCATTATATATAAAAAAACCAATTTCTTCAGCATGTATTGGATTAAAATTCAATCTTTACACCTTGTGGGGCGGCACATAGGTTTCGTGTATGTTGCGATGTTATCCAAACGTTTTCCTACAGGGCTCTGCTGAGCCAATTGAACATACATGTGCACTTTCTTGAACTTAGAATCATAGAATTGTAGAGTTGAAAGGGACCCCTGCCCCAGGGTCATCTAGTCCAACCCCCTGCAATGCAGGAATCTCAGCTAAAGCATCCATGGCAGATGGCCATCCAACCTCTCCTTAAAAACCTCCAAGGAAGGAGAGTCCACAGTCTCTTATCAAAGCTGTGCTGGGTATGTTCTGTATGATAGTATGTTGGAATTTTCACTCTAGTATGTAAAGATGGCTGTAATGTTAAAGGTATGATATGTTCCTTACAGGCAGAGTTTAATCTGAAACCTGACTCCCTCTACTTTAATGATGGCCAAAGAAGAATCGACTTTGTTTTAGCATATGAAGATGAGAGCAAAAAGCAACATAAGAGGAGCTTTCAGAAGAAGCAAATGGTATGGCTTGCCTTCTTGTTTTATGCTGCTGTTTTGGGGGGCTCCACTTTTATGGGCAATTTGAAGCATCTGTTTTTAGTGATTGCAACTTCCAAAGGTGTGCCTTCCCTTCTTTGCTTTTGTCTTTTCCCACAAAGCTGATTCATAGAATCTCAAACAAAGAGAGGATTTGCTGTTCTTCCCCTTGGCCTTTTTTTTTTTTTTTTTTTTGTCTTGATCTTTCCAGTTGGGTTTTATTTCTCGTAGTTGAAAGCTATATTATCCCTTGAATTCAAATGTACTTAGTGCTGGCATGCTCGGTTACTTTTCTGAGCGCTTGCCACAAAGAGAGGACTGAAGCCAAGAATGAGAAAAGGAAGCTTTTAAAAGTTATGCGTTCCATACAGTTCCGTACAGGGACGCGGGTGGCGCTGTGGGTTAAACAACAAAACCTAGGACTTGCCTATCAGAAGGCCGGCAGTTCGAATCCCCGCAATGGGGTGAGCTCCCGTTGCTTGGTCCCTGCTCCTGCCAACCTAGCAGTTTGAGTGCAAAAAGATAAATAGGTACCGCTCCGGCGGGAAGGTAAAGGGTGTTTCCGTGTGCTGCTCTGGTTCGCCAGAAGCGGCTTAGTCATGCTGGCCACATGACCCGGAAGCTGTACGCCGGCTCCCTCAGCCAATAAAGCAAGATGAGCACCGCAACCCCAGAGTCGGTCACGACTGGACCTAATGGTCAGGGGTCCCTTTGCCCTTACAGTTCAACTTTTAGCTTGATATTGCGCTTTTGCGATAGTACCCCTTCAGAATGAATCTTGAATGCAACCCAGATTAAAACAAAAACAAAAACACTCTTCCCTGCACTTAGAAAACCAGCTCATCAGAGAGACAGGAAAGCTATATTCTGTACTTGCTAGCTTTCTATAGGAAGGCGTCTTTAGAATGGGAGGAAGGGTTATTCAACCATCCAATTTCCTTATCCAAATTTAGGTAATAGCAGGAAGGCTATACTATATAATATAATAAGGTATAATCCTTATTAAACCAAAAAAGAGGAAATAATGAACAAACGGAGACATAAATAGCATAAATGTGCCTTGGGGACCAGCACATGGCGCCAGCTGCATCAACATCCTATTTTTCATAGGTCTCTTGTGGTCAATCTAGTGAACCCTGGTTGCCTCATTGTTTCCTAATAGGTGCCACTGCATGATACGCAAGAATTCAATAGCGGCAGTTTACTATCACTCCAGGTCTACACTGGAAAGAATTTCCCCTGCCAGATGTGAATATGTCACATAGCTGTTAAAGGCACAAGAGCAGTTAAGGACCTACTGACCTCAAAATACTACCTAAAATGTGTAACTATGCTATTTACCTTTGAGTGACCTATAATTTATATTTTCCTCCTAGGTGACAGGAATTCAGATTCTTTCTTTCCTTCTTTTTGAATTGCACTGACTCTTAACAGTCATGTTTAACTATTGAATATTTCGCCTGATCTCCTTCCTAATTAAACTAAGATTACACTATGCAGTTCCCATGTTCTTGCTAGCTTTCCACGCATGCCAGCTTGTGGTTTTGTTTTGTTTTAGTACCTATCTGTTTGGTTCCCAGCATAATCTGCTGACATGTCTTAGTCTTAGCATATTGTATTTTTTGTGTGTTGTCAGTCCATCAATTTGTATGCCACCTTTCCAAAGTTAAAACCATGCTCAAGGCTGTTTTCAACATATAAAAATACTACATAAGTACAATCATAACAACAGTAGTCCTAAACAATTTTTAATAATCAAAAAATACATAACCAAGTAGAACAATTAAAGGAATATTATTACCAATTTATGCCTGAGTTTTCTATCTAAAAGTTCCCAGTAAGTTTAAAAAAAACAGAAGTTGGTTCACTTTTTGCCTGCATTACAAAACCATTATATCCTGTCACATGCTTTGTATTCCATGACTAGTTCTGGGTTTTGAACTTGCAAAATATATGCAGCCACATGGAAATGAAGTCATTGGCCACCCATATGCAAGCAAGTATGGGGATGTAAAACACACATGACTACGCAATCTCACACTGCCCACCTAAGCCAGGCCAGCTATGGTGCTAGCAGCCCCAAAGTGCAATGAAAATGGCAATAACACCAATTTTCTTTAGATTGACTAAACATGATCCTGACCTGACCTTTCTAACCTCCATCGAGCCATTTTCACATTTCCAGTTTGTAGCGCAGGGCTTAGCTACACCATATTTGTAGCTATGCTAATAAGAGTTTTAAATTAATGAATGAGTAACCCTTCATAACTTCAAAGACTCCATTCAAAAGTAACACTGAAACAGAGTTTGGGACTAGAGGAACAAGTCCTGTGCTCATGTGCATCTCCTCTTCCTCTCTCTCTCCTTCCCTCAAATACCTGGTTTTGATTAAGTGCTTTCTCTTTAGCGGGTGGCGCTGTGGGTTAAACCACAGAGCCTAGGACTTGCAGATCAGAAGGTCGGCGGTTCGAATCCCCGCGATGGGGTGAGCTGTTGCTCAGTCCCTGCTCCTGCCAACCTAGCAGTTTCCGTGCACTGCTCTGGTTCATCAGAAGCAGCTTAGTCATGCTGACCACATGACCCGGCCAATAACGCGAGATGAGCGCCACAACCCCAGAGTCGGTCACGACTGGCCTAATGGTCAGGGGTCCCTTTCCCTTTCCCTTTAGCACAAACCATAGTTTCCTCTTACATTTAAACCAGCACTTTTGATAGTCCAGGATAGGGAGCTAAGAAACCCCTTATCTGGAGCATGTGTGTGTAGTGGACAGAAAAAACTTTCTTTTGTTCTGCTGATGACTGCAGGGAGATTTGCACCTCCACCTTCTGCCTAGAGAGGTCAGCCTTTGAGGACTGTAGGGAGCTTGTCTCAGCACTAAAGGCAGCAGCAGAAAGGCTACAATGATCAGCATAAGATAATCTCCTCCTCACTGCTCTGTGTAAACATTGCTGCTGAATCTTAAAAGTTTCTACTGGCTATTGTTTCAATCTCTGCCCCTAGACTGCAACAACTGTAGTCATTGCCTCATTAACACTGGATTCTCTTAAGATGCTATAATTCTGATTCTAATTCTAATTCTGGTAGCTAAATTGAACTTAATAGCAATTGCCAACAGGGAAGTGAGAACACATATAATGCTAGTGGAGCCCTCCCAATAAAATAATAAAATAAAACCAAAGGGTTGGATCCCATGTAACACCAAGCTAAACCATGGTTTGGCATTACATGACCAAGCCTCAGGCTTGCGCTTCCTCTCTCACCCCTATCTCTCTTTCCTCTTACATGGCAAGCCTAATTAGCTACAGTATTTTCTTCTTGGCATATACCATTGGCATATACCATCATTATATCTGAACTGGCAACCTATGGTTTGCACTTGTCCTCGCTCCAAAGCAGGATGGTTGGTTGGATATAATTGCAAATCACTTGCCAGATTTGGATGACACTGCAAACCATGGCTTGCCTCAAACCAAGATGCAGCTAATGAAACAGACTGCACGAAGGACAGAAGAACTGCATGAGCCAAACCACTCTACAAAGTGGCTCAGTATATTGTAGATTTATCATGAGATACAGATCAGAGAACATCCAGTTTACCAGGACCTGAAGAGCCTGATTTCATAAGTAAATAGTCTTTTACTGACTCACTTGTACCATTCAAATACAGTAATTCAAATTTAGTTTGGCTGCTTGACAAATTGAGAAGTTGTTTGAACAGTTTTCTTTAACGCAAAGAGAAAACTTTCTTTTCCTGTCCTATAAAACAATAGCGTGAATCGGTATGACTAATTTGACCCAACAACCCCCACCCCCTTGCACACACGAAAAAAACTCACTGCAGTCAACCAAATGCAACCAGCCATGCTCTGGGCACTCCAGTGTCTCACACAGCCAACAAAAACAAACAAACAAATAAATAAAGAACCTACCCATGTGACACTGATGCAAATACTCCACACATACACTATGCAAAAGAATGAAAGATCATGACCCTCTTTCTTTCTCCCACCTCTCTCTCCCCACCTCTTTCTCCCCAAAACTCAAAATTCCTATGATAGCAGTGTCTCACACTGAATGTAACTGACCTGTAGAACAGACTCTATGAATTGAAAACGTGGTCTGTGTTATTTATGGAATTATTTCTTAAAATTCAGTATTGTTATATATTTACTTTTGTTCTGTTTTATGAACAATGTCTGTTTGTAAGAAAAATGCCTGCTTCGCACTCAGTGGCAAACCCATACTTGCCACCTTGCACATTCACAGAACCATGGCCAACGCCAGCTCCCTGACTTGTGTGCTTGTAGAGCACACACACGTTCAAACATATACATGTGTTTGCTGTATGGATTCATCACATTGTGTGTAGAGCTTAATATTTTGATGTGTGAAACAGATGCAAAGAAAGCCGGATTCTAAAGTTCCTTGGTGATAAGTTAAACGCAGTGATTTGTTCTTTTTGCACGAAGACTTTGGTGCATTTCTGTTGGGAATATGAATTGTTATACTCTTCATGGGGAAAAAATAAAATCTTGAACTATTTTTCAATCGATTTCAACAGAGGAAGAGGCTAGCATATGAATCTAACTTGATAAACTGCGGTTTGCAGCTTGAAGCAACAAGTTCGGTGAGTGCAGCTTCCTTTGTACATTTGGCAAAGTGTGAATTTTTTCATCAAAAGGGGGGGGGGATGAATTTGTATGGAAGTGACATTGAAATCTATCCAGGTGCTTGCATTTTTTCACACCATTCTCTCTTTAATCCAGCAATAGTGGGAGGGGGGAATCTCAACTCCCTCTTTGTTACATATATTCTATTCCTCAGGTGTGTGTGACAAATCAATACATTCAGAACACTTGGTTTGAAGTGGGTTTAGTTGCACAAAAGAATGCCTCAAATGTTACAGCAAAGAGAGGTGCCTGCACTTTCACCATGGGAGAACCATGCCTTTTCTGTTATGTTTTAATGGTGCTGTCCCTTCCACCAAAATGAAAAGGAAAGGCAGCTTACACAAGAGCTCTGTCTGCACACTGCAACACAGTCAGTGCTCTGGTTCATAGTGTACCTTCTCCACTGCAAGTTAATCTGCTTTTATCTGAAATAGTATAGATTTGTAATGCTTGCAGAGTATTTCTGTCTCATCAACTGCACCTTCTAGTGTTCCTGCATAACTAGTAGAAGTTCATTCTGTTTCTGCACTTGCTGGGCTATTATGGGATGACTCTACGATTGCTAGAAATGAAGTGATATGGTTCAGCTTCTCTAACGCCCTATGTTATTCCACCTTTTAAAAAAAATCAGAAAAAAAATGCACAGTTTCTCACTTATGCACAACAATCATGCCTTCTTTCAAATTTCCATCCACCCATATTGCTGAAATATAGTAAGCTGAAGAGAGAAAAATTACCCCTCTTCAAACCGGCACAATTTACAGTGCCTCTACCAATTCCCAGATATTTTATATTGTGGACAATGAAGGTCAGCTGCATATATTACATGTGGCAAGTGATAAAAATCAAGAGCAAATCAAGCTTTAGAGCCAACTTGGTCATATTTATGACCGTATGTCATTTTTATGCTAGTGTCATCAACTGGCATTGTTCATCAATCAAAACATTTAGAAACAGCAACCTTGCTCTCAGAGGTAAATTTTGTAATCACAGCTAGTAATAGAATTTCTTTATACAACTTTGTTTATAACATGCTTGATGGATTTATTGACTTTAAACAAGACAGTTATTTGTCCCTTTAATAGACATTTTTCTCCAGTGAAAACCTATATCTCCTTTTCCATGGAGCTTAGTTTGTGCCAGAGCTTAAACTCACAAATCTACTTTCAATGCCAGGCCTCAGCCTCAAAACAAGGAAACAACAGTAAGTCCAAAAGTGCCTCTGGGTATGTTTATCATACCTTCCGATCATCTTTGAATCATCAGAAGGAGTGATGGGTAAAGTCCTCATGACTTACCTTACACTTAACACATGCACACCTGCAAACTCCTAGACCTCTTTGCATCTTCTTCCTTTCCCTCCTCTCAGGCCTACTTGGAGGGATGAGGGATGCAGAAGGAGAAGCAATATTGGACGCTGCATGGTCTCTTTCTCTTTCCCTCTCCATCCATCTCTCTGTGTGTGCATGGAAGCCTAGCAGACAGCAACCCAAACTCAAGGATAGAAGTATTATAAGAAAGACCAGCAGCCATGTTGAAATAGAAATTTCCTGGCTCTCCCTCAGGAAATAGCTACTTCTTCATTCAACACCAGTCTTTCCTATTCACACTTTAATCCCTGAAGAACCAATAGTATGCCAGGTTAGGGGAGGATGATAACTTCCAGCAAGCCTTGCACTCTTAAAAAATAAGCACCACCTTTCCAGTTGTAATCTTATGATGCTCCTACTGTTTTCGGTATGTCAAGTGCAGAAGAACTTCTCAGCTGAGTTTGTCCAAAAATGTCCCTGGGTAGTCCTTTGCTGGTAATGGCTTAAAACAGTGATGAAATTTTATCTATGAATATCCATTCACTGCAGGTTGGGGATGAAAAGCTTATATTTGTAAAAGTGCACGCACCTTGGGAACTGCTGTGCAGCTTCGCTGAAATTATGCACATCAAATTGCCCCTGCAACCCAATGACCTGAAAACCCGTGACTCACCATTTAAGTGGATTAGCAGATTCTTCAGTGTGGATGAAAATATCATCAAACCAGAGCAGGAGTTTTTCACTGCACCATTTGAAATTGACCGTTTGTCAGACTTTTACATACAGGACAAAGAAACTTTCTTCAATCCAGCAACCAGGAGCCGGATAGTAAGTTCCCAACATTTACATAAGGATGAATTTACTTTCTGTTGGTGTAGATATCTAGACCGATTTTTTTTCTAGCTGTTTTGAGCATCAGACCAGCCAAACAATGCACGAACAATGTTTTGCACCGTACAATCAATCTCTGGGGATGGGTTGTAGCTTGGAGAAGGGCAAACTCGGCCCTCCAGATGTTTTGGGACTACAGCTACCATCATTCCTGACCACTGGTCCTGTTAACTAGGGATGATGGGAGTTGTAGTCCCAAAACATCTGGAGGACGCTCCCTTACAGCCACAACCACCGTCTTGTGGGACAAGTGCCATCTCATCTTCCTCCCCAAGCTCAGCAGCGGTAGAACTGGTGGGGGAAATAGGGATATTCCAAGATAAAACCAGAATCCAGGATGACTTTCGTAATTCCAGGATTGTCCCTGGAAAATCGGGACACTTGTGGTGGGTAGCTCAGTTCTGCAAGTGACAACAGGAGTCTGGCTGCAGAATGTGAGAGTTAGAAGGAGCAGGGATGCCACATCACCCTTAGTTCACTAACTGCAACCTGAAATAGGCCTGAGTCAGGGGGAAAGTTCCTTGCTGGGCAGAGAAGCCTCTCTCTATCCATTTGCCAAGTTCCAAATGCCTCAACTGATCCTGCTTCCATTTCCTTTCTCCCTGATTCACAGTGTAAACCTACCTCCCATTTCAGAATATCTGTTCAGGCTACCTGCCCACTTCAGTGGTTTTCATTTAGTAGTAAAACTTACGGAACACTATGTATACTGCTCCATGAACTGCCATTTTAGGATTAATAATGTGCCTGATTAGCACTATTAAGTATACGTCAGAAGTGAATTTGTAAAAGTCAGTCCCCTTTTGCAGGCTGGGAGTCGGTGGTGGGTCTTTGGTCTGGACCAGTTGGAGGCCAATGATCAAGACAATGCATAATTTTAGACACTCCTACCACATGATAGATGTCCCCTGAGCTTATCCTGGTCTAATTCTTCATTAATAAAGAACTTTGGGGGGTTTTCAGGTTCACTTTATTCTTTGCCGTGGGGAATATGCTATAAGAGACAACGTGAGAAAGTTTGGAATCAATAAGCTGCTGGACTCTGGGATCTACAAAGCAGCTTTTCCACTCCATGATGTAAGTCCAATATTTTTAAAAAGTACCTTTCTGAAAAACCAAAGAAACAACCCTGCAATCCTAGAAATAATCCTAGAAGCAATGATACAAAAGGTTCTATAGAAGCCAATAAGAAAATACTAGCTGGCCTTTTAGCTGTTTGTTGAACATTCATCCTGATTTGCCTGCGCAAAAACTGCAGGGAGGCTAAAAAAACATTAACTACATATTGAGAATTCATTCTGATTTGTTTGTGGGAAGGTAATATTGGTGTTTCATCAAGGAATTATTATCATACACTTTCCAGTGCATTTCGCTTATCACAAAAAGCCTGATTTGGGGGTGGGAATTTGTTGCACAACATCACCAAAGCAATTATAATTGCTCTACCTGAATATGTCAGCATGTGATTGACACCCAAAATCACACCCCAAAATCATAGCAATCTGGAAGCACCCTGTATGCCAAATTGTGGCCTGTCTCTTTTGCAGCTACTTCAGTGGACAAACAGTACATTTTCTGGAATACTGCAAAATGGACAAACACTAAGTGATATATACCATATTTTTCCATGTATAAGATGCCCCCATGTATAAGGCGACCCCTATTTTTGAGCCCAAAATTAAGAATATTTAATTGCAACATTCCGTGTATAAGACGACCCCCAATTTTAAACTTTAAAAATTTGGGGAAAATGCAGTCTTATACATGGAAAAATACAGTATATATTTTATACACAGTTTTAACAAAGTCACTACCTGGCTTTTGCCCTCAGTGTCTTTACAAGAATTATGTATATTTAGAGCGGTCTGTGCAAAATACCATCTAGTATTGGGGAATATATTGGCCCATGGACCAAATAACAAAACTAATTATGTTTAGCGTCATATGAAGGAAGATTATGAACCTTTTAAAAGTACTCGGATTTTCAAGCTGCAACAAAAGATGAAAACCCAAGCTTTATTTTAAGCATTTTTTTTATATCTTCCATGTTGGTTTTGAAATAGAATTCCTGACCTCTGAGTTGTTTTTATTCTTTAGCTGTGTGCATTTTCCCTCCTTTCTTTTAACTCAGAGATGCCAATTTGACCCATGCTTGTGGCGGGTAGCTTTTGCCCCTTAGACTCACAGCAGAGCTTTCTCCCTTGACTAGTGCAATCACCTTTCCCAAGGCTGTCAACTATTCTTTGAGCTGAAATAAAACTGGTATTATGAAACCTTTATTTTCAGTAATGATGGCTCACTCAAAGGTGAAGAAAACTTAATTTTATATATCTTTATTATTTGTAAACAGAATCTTTTTGTGAGGTAATGCTTTATCATCCGTCTTTGTGCTTTTGCCCTTCTAGACTGCGGCATTTTGTGATTCACATGTTTTGTTCTTCGCTTTCCTTCTTTTTTTGGTTACCTTTGCACTTTTTGAAAATAAATAAATATAATATAAAAAACAAAATGCAACTAGTGTGACACTGATGCATCACTTGGTCTGGGCCTCAGTGACATCATCATAATCACCATCATCATATATATTTTTTATACCCCGCCCTCCCCGGCCAGAGTCGGGCTCAGGGTGGCTAACACCAATAAAATTACAATAAAACATAATGGGGGGAGGGACAAAAAAAAACCCAGTTTGTTAAAATACGAGTTAAAATACAATTTAAAATGCAGCCTCATTTTAATAGTAGCCCATAAATCAAAACCATAAGGGGAGGGAAACATAAGGGTCAGACTGAGTCCAAACCAAAGGCCAGGCAGAACAGCTCTGTCTTGCAGGCCCTGCAGAAAGATGTCAAGTCCCGCAGGGCCCTAGTTCCTTGTGACAGAGCGTTCCACCAAGTTGGGGCCAGTACTGAAAAGGCCCTGGCCCTCGTTGAGGCCAATCTAACCACCTTGCTGCTTGGAACCTCCAAAGTGTTGTTATTTGTGGACCTTAAGGTCCTCCGCGGGGCATATCAGGAGAGGCGGTCCTGTAGGTACGACAGCACCTTTTCCTCAAGAGAGGAGGCTGGCAGTAGCAGCCAGGGAAAGACTATGGAGAGGCAACGAGATGCTCCCTTGCCACCACTGCTTGAGCGCAGGCTCAATCTCCTCCCTGAGCTCAGCAGCAACAGCACTGGAGGGGGAAATAGGGACATTCCAGCATCAAATCAGAAGCCAGGATGGCTTTCGGAATTCCTGGGCTGTCCATGGAAAATCAGGCCACTTGGAGGGTATGCCATCATCCCTGAAAGTTTGCCATGCTGAGTGGGACTGATGGGAGCTCAAGAGTCCAACAGCTCCTGGAGGGCACCAGGTTGAAGAAGATTATTCTACTTAATATCTCTTATCATTCAAAGGAAGCTAGAAATAGCCTCAGACATTCACATGTCAAAACGGGCAGCATTAACAGTCTCTGTGGTTTTTTTCTGCATAGTGTGGGAAGCTTCTGTGTCAATTGCAGCAGCTACCAGGGAATCATTTATGACTGCTGCGGCACATTACAGCAGCAGCAGCATTACAAAAATAATGATGATGATAAAACATCAGATTGTAGTTTCCTCTAAATGAAAAACGGTGTAATTTGACCCTCAGGCATTTCCTGGTAGGCGCTGCAAACGCTACAAGAGAAGCCATTCCCTTTTTGAGCAGGAGTCTGAACAACAGCTGACATTAAAAAGGCATGACATGAACTGTGCCTTCAAGGAGGTGGGAATTCTTTAATTATCCACTCAATACTCTGTTTCACAGTCAAGATTCAACTACCAGTCAGAGGATCCCAACTGTCCAAATGAACGGTATCTGCTGTACAGAGAATGGGCTCATCCTCGAAATATTTTCAAGTTACAGCCCTTAGATCTTGTCAGGTAGGTATGGACAAGCATGAGAGAGGCTGAAAGTCCTCTTCTAATGTGATCCCTCCCTGCTCCATGTATAATAATTATTTTTACAGAAAACATGCAGAGTGCAGGTAGCTTAGTCAAGTCACCTTAATTTGTTTCTCTTGATGTTCCTTGGAGACAGTTTGATTTTGTATAATCATCTACTGGTTACATATTTGTGAGAATGTTCAAGATGCCTAAATATATTTGTGTAATGAGTAAGAAAACCAAGGTCCCACTTGGAAGTTATCTCAAAGCCATGTAATTTGCAGCACAGTTCTATGCATATCTATCCAATGTATACCCCCTTCTCAATCAGTGGGACTTACTCCCGAGTCATTGTCTAAGTCTGCATAGGATTGCAGTTTTCATGCAACTGAATTATTTCTTTCTTGATATTTATAATTGGCCTTATCCCTAACTGTCAGGGCTGCCTCAGGTCTCAGCTCACAAAAGACCAACGCCAAGTCCTTCTTATATACAAAGGTGTTTATTGGAGTTTATTCTTCGCTTCACAACCGAGGCGCGCAGCCCCACGTCTGTTACGCTTAGACCGTTGAAGTCCCCTCTGAGTCAGTCCCTCCCCTGCACCAGTTTAAGAGGCTTGAGCTGCTCCACCTCTTCCTCTCCTTCCTTTTCCGCAGGGTCTTCCTGCCCCCTGGGGTTTCGCCCCTCCTGGATTCCTCTGACGCGGAATCCCCAGACAGCTCTTGCCCCCTCCTGCGGGCTTTGGGACCTGGCTCCTCCTCCGGACTCCCTGTTCTTCCGCGCGCCTCCACATTTGAACTTGGCGCGCGTTCACAACCTCTAACCTTCCTCTTGACAGTTACACTACTCCCTGCACTACTCCCCTCCCCTTCCAGGAGGTTGTCTTGCTCCGACCTTCCCCCTTTCTCTGCTGTCGGAGCTGCTTCCCCTGTCACACTGGAATCTCCACCCCCTTCACTGCGCTCTGGCGGGGAAGCCGGTCCTGACTCCCAGCTCCCACTTTGGGATCCTCTGCTGGCCCCCTGCTCCTGACGAGTCCCCCCTGTGACTCCCCTTGGCCTGACCACAGGCGCCCCCTTCTGGGAATCCTCCGATTCACTTGAAAGACTCATGGAATCCCTCGAGTCATTGTCATCCTCTTCCTCACTGTCCTGGGATTCTTCCCCATCGCTCTCCGTCTCCTCCCTCACCTGTGCCTCTGTCCCTGAACCCCTGACATCCATCCCCCCCTCGAAGCCCCCCCTTCCCCCCTCCCGCTGCTCGGGCGCAGGTTCTGGGAGCTCCGTCGTTGCGGGGGTCGATGCTGGACACAGGTCGTCGACGTCGATCTCCTCTGCTTCTAGTTCAGTGTATGTGTGTTCGAACCCGGGCTCCTCCCCCAACATGTCCACGTCCTCCTTTCCCCCCGTTACTTCGGGCGGTGCTGTTTGCCACGGCCCCCTCAGCCACCTTCTGCGCCAGTCCTCTTCTGGTTGATCGTCCCACCAGTAAGAGCGGTCTGTGTCCACCCCCGAGCACGATCCCCTTGGAGGGCTCGATTCTGGCGACGTCTCCTCTGCGGAAGAGAACCCCCTGAATGTGCTGGCTGAAAGTGTGGGCGTAAAAAGCCAGTCGTCGAAATAATCGGCTGGCATGGGCCTGTGTGGGAAAAGGGCATGAAACTCGTCTTTGAGAAGAGGTTCCTCCAAAGCATAGCCCGGCACCCAACTGTTGGCGCTGGCCGGGGTACCTTCTCTGGCGAGAAGATATTCTACTCCCTCTTCCCCCCATCTCGAGTCCAGAATTTCTGTGACCTTGTTGAGTGGCGTGGCCCTCGGTGACTCCCCCCCCCCTCGGTGACTCTCTGCATGGGTCTGGTGCCGTCCCTGGCTCCTGAAATCTGTGTGGGGCCTTGTAGGGCGTGAGCACCGACCTATGAAAGACCGGGTGCATTCTGGAACCTTCTGGGAGAGTCAACCTAAAAGCTACAGGATTGATCCTGGCCTCAACTTGGTACGGCCCTAGCTGTCTGTGTCCTAGCTTCTTCTTAGCTAACGACTTGGCCGGCACCGCCTGGGCTGCTAACCATACCCAGTCTCCCACCTGGATGTCTTCTCCTTCCCTCCTGTGCCTGTCTGCCTGCACTTTGTAGGCGTGTTTAGCTAGCTCCAAGTGCCTTCAGAGCTCCTCGTGGACCTCCTGCAATTCTGCTGCTAAATGCTCAGCTCCCTGCGGCTCCCCCTCCCCCGTCGTCACCAACCCCGGGAAGGTTCTGGGATGTCGCCCATTGTTGGCGAAGAACGGTGTCACCCCCGTTGATGCGTGCTTCATGTTGTTGTAGGCAAACTCGGCCATCGGCAAGTAGTCCACCCACGCTGCCGGCCGTTGATTGGCGTAACATCTCAGGTACTGCTGCATGATGGCGTTGACCCTCTCCGCTTGGCCGTTGGTCTGCGGGTGTCTCGCTGATGCTAAGTTGATCTGGACGTTCAGGATGCCCAGGAGTTTCTGCCAGAAACTGGAAATGAATTGGCGACCCCGGTCGGACAAGATAGACCGTGGCAAGCCGTGCACCCTGAACACGTGGTCTATGAACAGTTTGGCGGTCTGCTCCGCTGTTGCCACCTTCGCGCAAGGAATGAAATGCGCCATCTTGGTGAACAGGTCTACAACCACGAGCACCGCCGTCTTGCCTCGCGAACTGGGCAGATCAGTAACAAAGTCCAGCGCCACTCTTTCCCACGGCTGTAGTGGCGTTTCCAGCGGCTCCAGCAGTCCCGCTGGCTTCTTGTGCACTGGCTTGGACCTCTGACAAGTGTCACACCTGGCGACGTAATCCGCGACCTCTCCTCGCATCTGGGGCCACCAAAAGTCTCTGGCTACCAAATCCGCCGTCTTTTCCTTGCCGAAGTGACCCGCGCTTGGCACGCCGTGCAACTGCTGCAGAACCTTCGCGCGTAGCTCGTCCCCCGGCACGTAGAGAGCACCTTTGCGGGTTAGCAGGCCGTCGCGTATCTGGAACTCGTCGTTCTGTGCCGTGCCTCTGCGCACCTCCTCCATCTTAGATTGTGCGAACGGATCTGTCTGCAGCGCGCGTCTCACCGCGTCCAGGTCTACTGCGGCGGAAGCGCACGCCCACGCCTGCGGTGCGAAAATGTGCTTGGCTGCCACTGGTGCCGCTTCCTCGAGATACTGCGGTTTCCTGGAGAGCGCATCTGCTATGACGTTGTTGTCTCCCGGGATATACTCAATCCTGAAGTCGAAATCCGCAAAGAACTCTGCCCAGCGTATGTGCCTCTGGCTCTGAAGCTTTGCCGTGCGCCAAGACTCTAGGTTCTTATGGTCCGTGTGGACCTGCACGGTGTGCTTGGCTCCAATGAGGAAGTGCCTCCACGCCTTGAAAGCCGCGTGGATAGCCAACAACTCCCTGTCCCAGATGGTGTAGTTCCGTTCCGGCTTGCTGAGCTTCCGGGAATAGAAAGCGCAGGGTCTCCAGTTCCCTTGCGGATCTTCCTGCAAGAGGACGGCGCCCACCGCTCTGTCTGATGTGTCAGTCTCAACCCGCATGGGCCTGCCAGGATTCACGTGTAGCAGCTGTTCTTCTGACGCAAAGAGGCTCTTAAGTCGCCTGAAAGACTGCTCCGCCTGGTCCGTCCAGATGAACTTCTTCTTCTTGGAACTGAGGGTGTCCGTGATGGCCGCCGTCTCTTTCGCGAAACCCCTGATGAACTTGCGGTAAAAGTTGGCGAAGCCGACGAACCTCTGGACCTCCTTCCGATTGCGCGGGCTCTTCCAGTTCAACACCGCGCGGACCTTGGCGCTGTCCATGGCTAGTCCCTTGTCGGACAGCCTGTAGCCCAGGAAATCTACCTCCTTCACGTCGAACTGGCACTTCTCCAGCTTGGCGTAGAGTCTGCGCTCCCGTAGCCTCTGCAGGACCTCCTTTACGTCCCTCTCGTGAGTTTCCTGCGATTCCGAGAAGATCAGAATGTCGTCGAGGAAGCAGACGCACTTCTTGTAGAGGAGTCCCGCTAGCACGTGGTGCATAAATGCTTGGAAAGTGTGAGAGCCATTTTGGAGACCAAACGGCATAACTCTGTACTCATAGGTGCCCAACGGCGTGAACATGGCCGTCTTCCACTCATCACCCTTCCGTATGCGTATGAGATTATATGCTCCGCGTAGATCCAACTTGGTGAAGATCTTCCCCTTCCTCACCATCGCTAGCAGATCGTCAATCTTGGGCATGGGAAAGGCCTTGGGCTTTGTCATCGAGTTAATGGCCCTATAGTCCACAATGAGTCTTTTTTGGGGCATGTCCTTTTTCTTCACGAAGAACACAGGACTGCCCCCCACTGCTTTGGATTCTCGGATGAAACCCCGCTTCAAATTGTGCTCTATGAACTCCCTGATCTCTTGCCTCTCATCCTCAGACATGGAATACAGCTTTGCAGTCGGCAGCGTCGCTCCTGGTAAGAGGTCAATCGCACAATCGTAAGGCTGGTGAGGTGGCAACTGGTCAGCTTCCTTTTCGCAGAAGACCTCCAAAAACCCCTTGTACTTGTGGGGGACCCCCTGCAGCATGCCGAGATGCAACTGCTGCCCTTCTTCCTGGCCCTCCTCCTCCTGACCGGTCTGGATGCAATGTTGTGCGCAGTAGGATGAGCCAAAGGTGAGCTGCCGCTGGTACCACGCTAAATTTGGGCTGTGTCTATCTAGCCAACTCATGCCCAGCACTATAGGCGTGTCTGACAGGCGGGTGACGTTGAAACTGATGACCTCGCGATGATTCCCAATCTGCATCACCATGGGTGGCGTCTGTTGTACAACTTGCCCGCCCAGCAGCTTCCTGCCATCGACCGTGACGACATTTAGGGGCAGTGTGGCTGGTAGAAGCGCTATGCGATGCTGCTTGATGAACTGCACCCCCACGAAGTCCGCGTTGCTACCGGAGTCTATTGTAATGGGGACTTCCAGGGTGAGTCCATTAGGTAGCTGGAGCGTTGCAGTGAGCTGCGCCACTGGCTTGGGTGGTAAGGGGTCTGTATGCTGCAAAGGCGCTGGGGACTGCTTTACTGACGCGCCTGACTGAGCCCCAGCATTTCTGCTTCCAGCCAGGCATTGTCGTTTCCCTGAAGCTGCTCTTCTTGAATCGCTGCTTCTGTTACTGTTGCTAAAGCTGCAGTGTGCTTCTGGAGCCTCTGGGGACACTCTTTAGCCATGTGCTTCGCACTGTCACAGATGTAACACTTCCTGTTCCCTCTAGGAGGCTTCACCTTGGCTGCTCCAGACGCTGGGGCTCCAGGAGCTGTCTGAGCCCTAGCACCACCAAGCTCCATTGGTTCCTCCCCTTCCCTCTGCAGAGGCGAGGGGTGCGTACTTCCCAGGTCCCTGGGAAGAAAAGGAGGCGCTCTAGCTGGTGCGCGGACCTGGCGACCCTCCTCACTGTGCCAAGGGCGTTCTTCGTGGCGCACCCCTATCGTGAGTGCTCTCTGCACCACGTCTGCTAGGGTTTGAGGTCTCTCTCCTCTGGCTAATTCATCTTTTACGGAGCCATGGAGCCCCTCCCAAAACAAGTCTCTGACTGCCAGGGAGTCCTTTTCCCAACGCAACACGTTCAGCAATGCAAAAAAGCGAGAATGGTACTGACGCACTGTAGCCTTGCCCTGCCGCAATCCATGCATCTCCCTTCGCGCCACATCTACGTCCACAGTAGATTGGAAGCAAGCGTCCATGGCTTTGATAAATTCATCAGAGTCCCTGCGGGCAGGACCATCTTCGCGCCACAAATTGCGTAACCAGGCTCTGGCTTCCCCATGCAAGTGGGACACAATGAATCCTACTTTCTCCTCCTCATCTTTAAAGTGTTTCCGAAGCAAATGCAGCGCATATACAACGTCTGCTCTGAAACTGGGATAATGCTTCAGGTTCCCATCGAAGTGGGCGACTAAATTGCCCCCCCTCCTTCCGAGTCCAATTCCCTCCGATCTGGACCCCGGGAACCCCTCTTTGCATGCACGTTCCCACCTGGCTTGCAGATCTTGGCATCACGCTTCTGCTTCGTCAACTTTCCGCTGGGAGACCACTACTGCAGTGGAGAGCTCGGTGATTGCGTCTCGCAAGGTCGTTATCTGCTCCCCGGTAGTCATGTCTGCCAAACTTCGTGAGCTTTGCAAAAAAAAATTTTGCGGTACTGGGAGGGGACTTACTGTCAGGGCTGCCTCAGGTCTCAGCTCACAAAAGACCAACGCCAAGTCCTTCTTATATACAAAGGTGTTTATTGGAGTTTATTCTTCGCTTCACAACCGAGGCGCGCAGCCCCACGTCTGTTACGCTTAGACCGTTGAAGTCCCCTCTGAGTCAGTCCCTCCCCTGCACCAGTTTAAGAGGCTTGAGCTGCTCCACCTCTTCCTCTCCTTCCTTTTCCGCAGGGTCTTCCTGCCCCCTGGGGTTTCGCCCCTCCTGGATTCCTCTGACGCGGAATCCCCAGACAGCTCTTGCCCCCTCCTGCAGGCTTTGGGACCTGGCTCCTCCTCCGGACTCCCTGTTCTTCCGCGCGCCTCCACATTTGAACTTGGGGCGCGTTCGCAACCTCTAACCTTCCTCTTGACAGTTACACTACTCCCTGCACTACTCCCCTCCCCTTCCGGGAGGTTGTCTTGCTCCGACCTTCCCCCTTTCTCTGCTGTCGGAGCTGCTTCCGCTGTCACACTGGAATCTCCACCCCCTTCACTGCGCTCTGGCGGGGAAGCCGGTCCTGACTCCCAGCTCCCACTTTGGGATCCTCTGCTGGCCCCCTGCTCCTGACGAGTCCCCCCTGTGACTCCCCTTGGCCTGACCACACGCGCCCCCTTCTGGGAATCCTCCGATTCACTTGAAAGACTCATGGAATCCCTCGAGTCATTGTCATCCTCTTCCTCACTGTCCTGGGATTCTTCCCTATCGCTCTCCGTCTCCTCCCTCACCTGTGCCTCTGTCCCTGAACCCCTGACACTAACACTGTAGCATAAATGGAAATCTTTGAAACTAGGTTTCTTAAAAATGAAATAAATATATTATCCCCCCCAAAAAAATGTTAAGCAAAAGCTATAAAAACAGCCCTAAACCAAAAATTACCAGGCTTACACGTCAGCAAAATTACAAAATAAGGAGGTTTCACATTAGTAGAGAATCCAACTGTGGATATAATACAAATTTTAACACAAGTGAAATTGTTATTGTGGTGCTCTGATAGAGTTCCTTTGGGACAAGGCTCCCAAGGGTTATTAACATCTGTGTGACAAGCAGAAATTTAAAAGACAAAAAGTATTTTCTATTTCTGTACCTCTGTGCCAGGAAGTGTCTTGTTAAACTTGCTAGGACAAAAGAAGAAGAAGATGGAATTGCTGCTTCTGAATGCTCTTGAAGATCATTCATAAACTCAGAAAATGAGGCCTCAAGGTTCAATTCCTTTAAGGCAGGCTTCCTCAGCCTTGCCCCTCCAGATGTTTTTGGCCTACAACTCCCATGATCCCTAGCTAGCAGGACCAGTGATCAGGGATGCTGGGAATTGTAGTCTCAAAACATCTGGAGGGCCAAGGTTGAGGAAGCCTGCTTTAAGAAATCTGGAAGCACAAAACTGATGGCAGTACACAATGATCTATGTGTGTCAACATTAAATGTAAGGAGTTTCTCGCTTCCCCAAATTATTGGATTGAGAGGAATTGTATATTTGTCCATAGTTTCTAAATACGTGTTTTTATCTGCAGGAAATATTATGGGGAGAAAATTGGAATCTATTTTGCCTGGCTAGGATTCTATACTCAGATGTTACTCCTGGCAGCAGTTGTTGGACTCGGGTGCTTTTTGTATGGCTATTTCATGAAGGACAACTGCACTTGGAGGTAACCTGCACCAGTTCATGTCGTTCACGTTGGATATGATCCAGCATGCATATGATCCAGCATAAAGATCCAAATGTCATTAAGTGGACCATTCCCAAATAATAATTTGTTGTTCCAGAGTTCAGCAGAACTCAGTAGATTTTCAGTGAAATCTCAAACTTATCAACTCAGAATTCAATGAGGATTATTTTTGAGTCAGTGGGGTTGAGGCCGCAGCCTAAATTATGAGCATGCACGTATAGAATTGCACTGTTTGTTGTTTTATAATAACATACGAATGGTCAAGTTATTGTTTAAGTGTTCAAACATATTTTGAAAGATTAGAAAAAGTTGCCACCCCTTTTGCTACTGAGTAACCACATTCACAGACTTTCCAAGTGTCCCTATTTTCCAGGGACATCCCTGATTTAGAGAAGCCGTCCTGGTTTCTGATTTGATCTCAGAATGTCCCGTTTTCCCTTAGGATGTCCCTATTTTCATTGGTTAAATGTTGGAGGGTATGGCGTTATCTGAACCCCTGAGCTGTCTGAAGGCAATCCTGTATAGGAATTTTTTTTAAAAAAAAAAGTTTAATGTTTTATTTTGTTTTTATATATGTTGAAAGCTGCCCAGTGTGGCTGGGACAATCCAGTAAGTTGTGTGGGGTATAAATAGTAAAATTATCATTATGGAATGGGGCAACTCTCTTCTCTGAAGTGTTGAAGGGTATGCATTCAGTGTGAAAAGGTTAAAGTATGCTAAGGCCAGCTAATCTTCAGTGTGTGGTACTGTATTGCCCCACAAATCTCCTATCATCTATGATCAATTTCTCAAACTTATTTTTTTGCCTCTGCTCTTATTCCTTTGTTTCATAGTTCTCTAGAGTAATATATTTTGCAAATCTTTAACGATCCTCTCTTCTGGACATACCATAGGTTTAGAGGGAAATCTCAGCAGTTCTTTTTATACAACTCTCAGCTGAAATCAGTTGAAGAAAATCTGTTGTTGAAACTCACAAACCCGTATAAATATTAGTTTGATTTATGAATTTTAAAAATTGTGATGATAACGATAATAAAATAAAACACAAAATAGTGATGGGGGAAAATAAAGGCGGAAATCAACAGGGCTATGCTACACAAAGGGTTTTAAGATTGTAGCCGAAGAACAATGAAAGATAAGTTACTGCAGTCTAGATACAGAAGATGTGTTTGGAACTCAATTGCAAGAAGTCACATGGAGGGGTAGCATTTTGGAAAGAGAAACAGAAGATGGGAGAAGATTAAGCAGTTCCTCCACTCAATCATTTTCCTAGAGAATGGAGTTATGGAGAAGTTATCACTTCTCCATAACTTGTTTTTTTCTGTACAAATGGGTCACTATGGTAAAAAGCACTATTGTATGTAAAGTCTACTTTGGCCTTATTGAAGTAACTGCAAAGTGGAAACTTAAGGGAGTATAGCATGCAGGGAGAACTATGAAAGCAGTGAATTAAGCAATTTGTTCATTGAATTACTCAACCTCTCAGATGGATCCTTTCAATTTTAGCCAAGAAGTCTGTGACCCGAACATAGGAGGTAAAATCATCATGTGCCCCCAATGTGATCAAGAATGTACATACTGGAACCTCACAATCACCTGTGAATCGTCCAAGGTAACAACAACATTTACTCTAGCGGATTATGGAAAGGCATTGTTTTCTGGGGCATGAAATTTTATTTTGAAGCGAAGTTAGAAATACATGCAAAAGAAAAAAAGAAAAGAAAAGAAAAGAGGATGGATACTACATAATAATACGAGACCACTAATGAAAAGGGGAGAATGCAACTTACTGATTACAATCATTGAACTTGTGCGAAGGTTAAAAGACAACCTCAGGAAAAAGCTCCTTAGATAAATGTGTCTATTTTTATTTGACTGGGATGTGAAACTTGAAGGCAAGTTCCTATACTGTCTTTCAGTATCCCATCTGTTTGCTCAGGTAAATGAGTTTTGGCTTTATGAAGTATCCTTAGGAAAATGGATAGTCCATTAACTTGAATTGCTCCTGTCTACATGTGGTTTGTCCTGCGCATCTGTGTTTGAAGGAGCAAGAGTGATAGTCTGGTGCTTCTTATGGCAAGGCAGACCTGGCCACAAACTGTTTTCTTCTCCTTCATAAATAGAGTGACCCAAACCTCACTTTAGAAGAGTAATATAAGGGATATGATAGAGATGAGAATGAAATAAATTGAATAAACAGAGCAAAGATATGAAATCATTTTTGTGTGTGTGTGTGTGTGTGTTTTAATAGACCTAGACTTAGCATGCTTTTCATGTGATAAGCTTATCACATTATAGTTTGCCTTCCACTGGTAGATCTTTTGTTTATATGATAAGAATGCAGCAGCTGGAGCTGCTAATCTGTGATATTAGTTTTACACAACCATATTATCATCTGATGGTTGCTGCCATCACATTGGGAATATATAATTTTTGACATTTCATTTGTTTTCAGTTTGCTCAGGTTTTTATGTATGCATTTAATATTCCCAGCACTGAAACATATTTTGCCTCTCTTTTCAGGATAAGTAGGCGTTATAAAATGATTTGCCTTTAAAAACAAAACAAAAAAAACCTTATGTATCACATATTTTGCCGTTTTCCATAATGTGGGACTAGATTGGCATTACAGTTCTGCTTTCTAAAACTTGGCAGAACACTAAAAAAAAGGAAACTTTATTTAACTATAAAATGCAGGCTGTTATCAAGGCAACTTCTCAAACAGTAGCAAGCTGTGTGCCATGGCCATTGCTTCCAGTTGGCAAACTGCTTCCTCCCCTCTAGCAAGCAGATGGTCAATGTCTTCAGCTGATTAGCTGTGGGGCAAGAAAGCAGCAAGGAGGTGTCTGAGTTCGGCCCTTCCCCATAAATGATAAGGAATGTTTTTCTTGTGGCATTGTATGCATACTGCAAGGATGCCAAATGTCTATGTGGGGCTTCCATTTCCATGGCAGAAGAGATGGTCTGCCATG